GTCCCCTGTACCCGGGTCTTACGCCCCCCGGGGATTGGGAAAGGGGGGGTTACGAAATTTGCTGCATGCAGCTGGTTTCGGCCTCACCGAGGGGCCCCTTCCTCGATACATAGCCGCTTCCGGCGCCGGGAGGCGCGGGGAAAATCAGCTACGTGAGCTGATTCTCAACCCTCCCCTTTGCTATCCCCCCATTTCGCCCGACCCGACAGGTGCCTCCTCCTCGCAAGGGCCAGGAAGAAGACGCAAGCACGCCCTCCTCCAGGTGTGTCAAAACGACGCGAAGATCGGGGCAAAATCGGATCGGGATCACTCGAAATCTCTGAGCATCGGCGGGTTTGGGGGATGTATTGGGCGCCGCGGCCGCTCCAGAGCGTTCTGGCACGCTCTGAGAGCGCTCCGGAACGCTCTGGAGCGATTCATCCCGATCCTAGCCCTGTTTTAAAGAAAACGCAAGCACGCCTTCCTCCAGGTGTAGCAGGCGATCGCAGACATGGATGAGGGGGGCGTGGGCTAGCGATGGGTCCCGTTGCCATGGGAAATCGCAATCGCTGACTCTTGCCGCCGGGCCAGGCGGCACAGGCCGTATTTGGGGGAGGTTATCTCCCCCGATCCATGGATTAGGCGACCGCGCGCCAAATCCATGGATCGCTAATTCATGTTTGCGCGCCGCCGAGTGTAATTGATCGTAAATCCCACGCGGCGGATGCATGCCATGTGCGAGCATTTCCTCTGCGAGTAGTGGAGCGCGCTCGTCTACACCTGCGCGCATGGCGACGAGTTGCGCGCTCGTGTCTCACAGAATGCACAGGTTTCTATAGGCAGGCGGCGCCGCGCGGTCTGGCTTCGCGCTGATTTATGGCAGTTCACTGTCGCTCGTCTCGGCTTGTGTAGCAGCATAACATGAATCTGAAATGGGACGGCGACGCCGTCGTCGACGCCGACGACGACGGCGGCGGCGACGACGTCGACGATGTCGACGGCAACGGCGATGATGCTGTTGCTGCTGATGATGGTGTTGGTGATGATGGTGCTGATAATGCTAGTGGCGACGGCGATGATACTGATGTTGATGCCGATGACGATGTTCACGATGACGATGATGAAGACGATGAGGACTATGCTTCTGCTGCTGCTAATGACGATGATGATGTTGATGATGATGGTGTTGTTGGTGGTGTCGGTGTTGTTGAATGTTCATTTCTGAACCATTGCCAGTAATCACTGCATTTTTCAATTAAAGTGTTTCTCCCGGGGCTTGTACCCTGGTTTTGACAAGGGAAAATGAGGGGTCACCCGCTCGCCTCTGGTTAACAGCAACAACGGCTCCCACCTGAGATTTCCTCACAATGTATTCCCAAATCGCGCTCTTGCGCGGGACTGCCTCACAATTTATACAGGAATCGCGCTCTCGCGTGGTATTTGCTTGCGTGGCATGTCCTCACACATTTTTCAGACGCCGCGCCCTCGACACTCAGGAATCACGCTCTCGCTGTGGATATTCTCATGTATTTTTGGGGAATCGCGCTATCGCTCGAGACTTACTCGCGATTCATGCAGGACGCACGCTTTAGCAACCCGCCTGCCCCTTGTTCCGTCCTTCCATCCGTCCTCTCTTCCCCTGCCCTAGAGGCTGCACGAAATACACGTTACAGGTAAGACAGATGTACCCCCTAGGGTGTACGATCGAAGACGAAGAGGACGGGTATCGAGGGTTTGGGATCTACGTGTTTCAATGGCACGCGCTCAGGTAATAGCGAACAGTCTTAAATTGATTGGTGGTGCTAGTGTTGTTGTTGTTGTTGTTGTTGTTGTTGTTGTTGCTGTTGCTGTTGTTGTTGTTTTTGTTGTTGATGTTGCTGTTTTTGTTGTTGGCATTGGTGTTGTCAGTGTTATTGTCATTGTTGGTGCTGCTGCTGCTGCCTCTGTTGCTGTTGTGGTTGTTTCTGTTGAACTCTCACTACTGAAGAATATTTGTTGTTGACCCCCCTCAGGTGACCACTGTGCTTTTTCAATTGAAGCGCCTCCTCCGTAGCACGCATTTTTTAATACATCTGAAGCAGTTTATATTCACTAGACTCAAACTGTGTTGTTGGCTCCCGGATTACAGCAACAACGGCTCCCGCCTTAGTTTTCCTTGCAATTTAGCCAGGACCCCGCTCCCGCCGCAGATTTATTCGCATTTAAATTAGGAATCGCGCTCTCGCTTAGGACTTGCTTCCAATGTATGCAGGAACCGCTTGCTCGGCGCTCTGGAGTCGCGCTCTCGCTAGAGGCGTGCTTGCAATTTACTCGAGAGTCGCGTTCTCGCGTTGGAATTCTCCGCAATGTACTCAAGTGTCGCGCTCCAGACACTCGGGCACCCAGGAGTTGCGCGTACGCTTAGGACTCCCTCACAGCTTATTTAGAAGGAATCGGGATCTCGCTACCCTTCATGGACCCGTTGCAGCCCTTCGTGGTCCCCTCGCTGCCCTCCGTGGCCCCATCTGCATGCCCTTCGTGGCCCCCTCGCTGCCCTTCGCGGCAGCGTTGCAGCCCGTCTTGGCCCCCTCGCTGCCCTTCGTGGCAGCGTTGCAGCCCTTCGTGCCCCCCTCGCTGTCTTTCGCGGCCCCGTTGCAGCCCTTCGTGTCCCCCTCGCTGCCCTCCGTGGCCCCGTTGCAGCCCTTCGTGTCCCCCTCGCTGCCCTTCGAGGCCCCGTTATAACCATTCGTGGCCCCCTCGCTGCCCTTCGAGGCCCCGTTGCAGCCCTTCGCGGCCCCCTCGCTGCTCACCGTGGCCCCATGTATGTATGCCTTTCGTGGCTCCCGCTCGTTCGCGCCCGTCGTGTTCCCATATGCATGCGCTTCGTGGTCCCGCTGTCGCCCTTCGTGGCCCCCTCGCTGCTCTTTGTGGCCCCGTTGCTGCCCTCAGTGGCCCTGTCTTTGCCCTCTGCGGCCCAATATACGTATGCCCTCCATGGGCCCCGTTCGTTCGCGCCAGTCGTGGCCCCATATGCATGCCCTTCGTGGCCCCGCTGTCGCCCTTTGTGGCCCCCTCGCTGTTCTACGTGGCCCCGTTGCTACCCTTAGTGGCCCCGTTGTTGCCCTCTGTGGCCCCGCATTACATGCCCTTCGTGGCCCCCGCTCGCTCGCGCCCTTCGTCGCCCCACACGCATGCCCTTTGTGGCCCCGCTGTCGCCCTTCGTGGCTCCCTTCCTGCCCTTCGTGGCCCCGCTGTCGCTCTCGCTCTCGCTCTCGCTTTCGCTCGTCGTCGTCGCCGTCTTCGCCGTCTTCGCTGTCGTCGTCGTCGTCGTGGTCGGTCCCCTGTCCGTCCCTCTTCGGGTCGGGTTGCCGCCGGTCAGCGCCGCCGCTGGCCAGGCCGACGGTCCGCGTTCGCCCCGCCGCTTGCCGAGGCCTGCTGGGAAGAGAGATTCACCTTCCAAGAATGGTACCATCGAAGACCAAGAGGGTGGCTATCGAGGGTCTGGGAATACATTGAATGACACTCGAACAGAGATGAGCGAACAGTCTTAAACGAATCGCAGATGTTGTAATTGTTGCTGCTGTTGTTGAACTCTCGCTGCTGAAGAGTAATTGATGCTGATCCCCCATGATGTTTTTTCAATTGAAGTGCTTCCCCCGGGACTCGCGCCTTTTTTATCAGGGAGTCACCAGGCTCAAACTGTGCCCATGGCCCCCGGTTTACAACATCGGCTTCCGCCTGATGCTCCCTCACAATGTATTCCCCCATCGCGCTCTCGCGCGGGACTTCCTCACAACTCATGTACGCATCGCGCGCTCGCGCGGGACTTTCTTGCAACTCGTTTTGGCTTCTCTCGCGATTTATTTGGGAATCGCGCTATCGCTCGAGACTGTCTCGCGATTCGTGTAGGACCCACGCTTCAGCAACCCGCCTGCTCGACCTGGTCGCCTGGGCCGGCCTTCCCGACCTGCCCGCTATGAGTCTGCCCACCCGATCAGCCTGTCTGGTTCTGTCACGTGTTCTCTGCTCTTTGCCCTTTCTTTTTGTCCCTCCCTTTCGTGTTCCATTCTTTTCCCTCCCCCTTTCCACCCGTCCTCTCCACCCTGGTTTTAGGGGCTGCACTACATGAGCGTGGCAGGCGAGGAAGATACCCCCGAGGGGGTACGATTGAAGACGATGAGGGCGGGTACCGAGGGTTTGGGATATACGTATTGATTGGCACGTGCGCAGATAGGAGCGAATAGCATTACAATGAATGTTGTTGTTGTGGTTGTTGGTGCTGGTGTTGTTGCTGTTGTTGCTGCTGCTGCTCCTGCTGCTGCTGTTGTTGTTATCGCTGCGGTTGTTGTTGGTTGTGTTATCGTTGCTGTTGTTGCTGTTGTTGGTGTTGATGCTGATGATGTTTTTTTGGGGGGTACTATGCCATTGTTGTTGTTGCTGCTGTAGTTGTTGATGTGATTGTATTATTATGGCGGTTGTTATCGTCATTGTCGTTGTTGTGGGTGATGAGAAGGAGAAGGACGAGGACGGCAATGACGACGGTGACATCAGCGTTGCTTCTGCTCTGACTGATGAAGATTGCGACGATGCTACGATGCGGGGTGGTGATGATGCTGATGGTGATGAGAATGCTGATGATGATGAGGATGATGATGCTAACGATGATAGTGCGCATGATGATGATGATGATGATGATGATGAGGAGGAGGAGGAGGAGGAGGAGGAGGAGGACGAGGAAGAGTAGGGGGTGGAGGAGGAGGAAGAGGACGAGGAGGAGGAGGAGTATGAGGAGTGGAGGACGATGAGGACGACGAGGAGGAGGAGGGACATGAGAAGGATGCATATTCCAAGATGGCGATGACGGCGATGAAGATGGGCCATGGTGAGGGTTGTTCTGGTGATGCTGGTGATGCTGAAG